TGGAAGGATGATATTTGTCTTCAATCTTGCAAAGTGTGTGGTGCATCTAGATGGAAGGATGGTAAACATAGTGGGGAAACAAAATTGAAAAAGGAAAAAAGATACCATGCAAGACTTTACGTTATTTTCCTCTAAAGCCAAGGCTTCAAAGATTATTTATGTGCTCAAAGATATCTCATTTGATGTCATGGCATCATGACAAAAGAGTTGATGATGGATAATGAGTGTAGCGACCCTAAAAATAGATAGGTGAAACTAGAGCCTAACGTATGAATTTTTAAAGTTTAAGCATAAATTGGAAGTAGTCACTTTTGGAAAAAAAAAAAAAAAGTTCAAAATCTGGAAATTCGGCCAAGTGTGGAAATTAGTGAGTTTTTGGCCAACTTTGAGCAGTCATAACTCCTAGCTCAGGATGATCTAGGAGTAGTTCCAGTTATGTTTGGAAAGCCCTTGGAACGATCTTTCCAACGCCACCGAGTTTGCTCGATTTCGAGTTCGTATGAGTGAGTTATGCCCTTTGAAAGTTGGGCAGTTGGCAAGGAGTCCGTCCGGAAATTTAAGGGCATTTTGGTCTTTTCACAAATCTTTTCTTTTGAGGTTATATTATTGTGTTAGGCTGATTGTGGATCATTTTGTTCCATTTTTAAAAGAGTAAGGGTTAGGGTTCTTGAGTGAAGGAAGAGAAGAAGAAGGTTTCTTGCATCAATTTTCGTGGGTTTTCTCAATACTAAGGTATGGTGGCTCTTTATCTAAAGCTAGTTTTCGCTTTAGAACCAATTTCAAAGGATTTTCAATTCTCAAAAGTTATGAAAAACTTCTATTTCTTACTCTACTCAAGGGTTCTTGCATTAAATGGTTTTAAATGATGGATTGTGATATTGTTGATGTTTATGATTTTCTATATCTATTGATTAATGTTGAGGATGGCTTTGGAGGATGGTAAGTTGATTTAATCTCATATTATTGACATAATTGTTCTTGCTTGGTTTGATCCACTTATGGTGGAGGTGTTTAATTATGGATTGTATTATGAATATGGCCTTGAAGGCATTATCTATTGAATTAAAGTGTTATCAA